TGTTGATTTAATTATTTGTAAAAATAGTTTGGATTAAAAAAAAAATCATGGTTGTTATTAACACGTGCTTATTAAGTGAGCGGCGATATGATTTGGATATTAAAAATTTAAAATCACTTCCCCAAGTTTATCTCAAACACAGCCTCTATCTTATTGTATTGTTTTTTCCTCTTTTTTTTCACATATATTTTCCAAAATATTTTATAAAAAAAAAAGTAAATACGATTCAAAATTTGGGAAAATACATCGTAATAACAAAACACAACTTTCTCAAACTATTTTACGAAACAGCTTTTTAAATTTCATCAAAACATATAGCGAAATTCTCGCAAAATTTTAATTTAACGTGTGGCATACATTAAATTTCTCTGTCATTGAAAGTATGCGTATTGGTTGTATTATAATATACTCACGTACTCTCAACACTGGATTATTTTATTCTTATATTTTTGGCGGATATTATTTAATTTAAGGGTAAAACCTCTAAAAAACCCCAAACTTGCAAAAATATATACAAATAAACCTTCAACTTGAAAAACTGTCATTCAATCCCCGAACTTGTAACTTATCACTGAATAAAACCTCGAACTTGCAAATTATTGTTCTAATAAACTTTTGACCGGTTTGACCACAATTTCAAACGATTGAAAATCCACGTATTGACGGATTACTGATATCATTTTTTAAATTAAAATTGATAACGTGTATAAGGTGACATCAGTAATTCGTTAATACGTGGATTTCCGATCGTCTGAAATTGTGGTCAAACCGGTCAAAGATTTATTAGAGCAATAATTTGCAAGTTCGAGGTTTTATTCAGTGACAAGTTACAAGTTTGGGGATTGAATGATAATTTTTCAAGTTGAAGGTTTATTACTTTATTTGTATATATTTTTGCAAGTTGGAGGTTTTTTAGGGGTTTTACCCTTAATTTAATTTAATCAAGTCTTCGAACGCGCGCGCGAACCCAAGCAAGTAACGAACTGAATTCTTATTATTACTCGAACAAACTCGATTGGTCGTTTACAAAATAAACCCTAAATTATTGTCGTCTTTTTTTGTAGACGAATGATAAGAAAAAATCTTCGATCATAAACTGAACTGAATTAAAAAAGAACAAACAAAGAATGAAACAAAACAAGGACTGATCTCCATGCCCTTCCAATGTCGCCGATGGAATCTATTAGTGTATACTGAATCCCGCAATTACGGGAAGATATTGTTGTAACATATTCGGTTTCCTTAATTCTAGCTTAGGTCAAAACACGTTTGTTTAGGATAAATCTGCACAGAACATGTTGAATGGACGATAACACTTTTCCGATCGTCTCCGATCTCCGACTCTTCTGCTTGATTCCTGACATGGTATCAGAGCACGAATCCACGAATCCATTTGAATCTCGTTTTGTTTTTTCTCAATGTTTGCCGAACCAACCGTGCATCCCGACTCGACTGCATCTCCAGTCTCGAACCTCGACTCGAATATGACTCCCGCTCCGACAGATCCGATGCACGCAGCCCCGACAACGAATGTCGTCGCTCCGCGCCGAACGATCTCTCCGTACGATCTCACGGCCAGTGACAATCCCGACTTGATTCTCTCCCAACCGTTGCTGCGAGAAGAAAATTACGATGAATTGGCAATCAATGTGCGACAAGCTCTCAAATCTGGAAAGAAATTTGGATTTGTTGATGGAACGATTCCTCAACCTGATGTTCACTCTGCTGATTATGAGGATTGTGACACTAACAATGCCCTCATTGTCTCATGGATCAAAAATACGCTTCAGCCGAATATCTGATCCGACATGGTGCACCGTGAATTTTTGGCCGATCTCTGGGACTATCTGAAGCGTCGCTTTGGAACGACAACAGCACCGCGTCTTCTCAAACTTCAGAATGATCTCGCCAATTGCAAGCAAGGTGGAATGACCGTCGAGTCGTATTTCGACAAGCTAACCAAAATTTGAGATGATCTGGCTAATTTCCGATCGTTGAAAGTCTGCCAATGCCAGCGCTGCACCTGTGGGATCTCGGCAATCCTTGAAAGAGAGAGGAACGAGGATCGCTTGTTCGAGTTTCTTCTGGGCCTTGATGAATCACGCTACAGCACGGTTCGTTCGAACCTTCTGTCGCAACAACCTCTGCCAAGCTTGGAAGAGGCGTACAACCTGGTCATGCAAGATGAGGATACACAACGTGTGTCCAAGTTCGCTGATGATAAATCTGAAATTTTGGCCTTCTCTGTTCGTTCAACGAACAAACTTCCCGACATCTCTGCTCCGAAAGATTCACTCGTGTTGTGCACGAATTGCGGCAGATCTGGGCATCTCGCAGAAAGCTGTTTCAAGATCATTGGGTTCCCGGAATGGTGGGGTGACAGTCCCCGAAACATAACCGGACGCGGCAGAGGAACTTCGGTGCCGACACATCAGGGAGATCGAAATCGCCTTGCTACTGCTCGAGCAAACTTTGCTCAGGTTTCCACCAATTCTGCTGCTGTCTCACCTCCGCCACTTGCAAACACAACTGCGTTTCCTGGATTCTCGGACGAACAGTGGAAATCGCTAATGGTTCTACTTAACACAGACAAATCCGAAAATCTGCAGACCATGACGGGTAAGTCTTCTGGTCTTTGTTGGATTTTAGATTCTTGTTGTTCCCAGCATATGACGGGTGTTCGATCAGTCTTTTCTATGCTGAATCAGACGCCGCCATGTTCAGTTGTTCTGCCAGATGGTCGGAATGTTTTTTTGGTTGAATCGGGTTCGGTTTCACTTGGCCATCATCTTCAGATCTCCAATGTGTTATACGTACCTGGTCTTCATACAAATCTGATCTCTCTCTCGCAACTATTGGCTGATAGTGACTGTTTTGTGACGTTTGCTCTGACGTTTTGTGTCGTCCAGGACCGCACTTCCAAGACGCCGATTGGAGCGGGTGAGTTGCGAGCTGGTCTTTATTATTTCCGAAGCATTACGACACTGGCAGCAACCCGGGTGATAGACTCTTGTTCGTTTGAGGTGTGGCAAAAACGCATGGGACATCCATCCTTCAGTGTGCTTGCCCGGATCGAAAGCTTTGGTCTTTCTAATACTACTTCTGTTTTCAATAATAAGCAATGCACTGTCTGTTTGCGTGCAAAACAAACCCGGGAATCGTTTCCGCTGAGTATTAATAAAAGCTCTTCTGTTTTTGACTTGCTACACTGTGATCTTTGGGGGTCGTACAAAACACCGCCATTCTCGGGTGCCCGTTATTTCTTGACTATAGTTGACGACTATTCTCGTGGAACATGGATTTATCTGCTTAAAGAAAAATCTGAAACGGCGCTGCACCTTCGTAACTTTGTTGCATTAGTTAACCGACAGTTTAATGCCAAAGTGAGAAAAATCATATCAGATAACTGAACATAATTCACAAGCTTGCGAGATTTTTTTTCAGCAAACGGAATTCTGCACGAAACCTCATGTGTTGGAACACCTCAACAAAACGATAGAGTCGAACGCAAGTATCGGCACATCTTGAACGTTGCCCGAGCCTTGATGTTTCAAGCTAATATGCCAATTGATTTTTGGGGAGACAGTGTTCTTTCTGCAGCATACCTTATCAATCGAACGCCATCGACGATTCTCAATGGATGAACTCCGTATGAATTGATTCATGGACAAAAACCATCATATGGTCACCTGCGCATTTTCGGTTGTCAGTGTTTTGTTCATAACCAAAATCGTAGTGGAGACAAGTTTGCTCCAAGGAGTTTCAAATCGATTTTCGTTGGGTACCCGACAGGCAGCAAAGGTTAGAGAGTGTATAATCTGGAAACACAAAAAATCCAGATTTCCAGAGATGTGGTTTTTTGTGAAGACATATTCCCGTTTGCTGCATCTGCACCAATCCCAGACACACTCTCCTCTCTCTCACGCTTGCCATCCTCAGCTCCCCTACCTCACGATGGCGAAGATGACTTCCCCCTGCACGCATCTCGGGCTGTTCTTGAAATTCCGCTTGCACAGGCAGTTCTGGATTTACCAGCCACACCAAATGATCTGTCTGGGCCAGTGGCAGAATCGCCTTTGCCCGAAACATCACCACTGCTATCGTCGTCTGCACCACCATAATCTGCACTCGAAACAGAGTCATCGACGGACATTGATACACCGAATGTGCCGACTGATTAGACCCAGCTTGGGAGAGGCCATCGTTCGAAAATTCCCAATGTTCTTCTTCGGAATTTCGTCACTAATGCGACACGAGTTGAGCAATTCCGTACAGCTGCAGAATCCTCGCCTACACGGTTCAGTACATCATTTCCGATAGACAAATATATGTCATACGGGAAAACTATGCCTTCCCACATGGCTTTTGTCGCTGCAGTCACCACTGAGAAACTACAAACAGGCGGTGCAAGATGAAAGATGGCGAAAGGCAATGCACGACGAATTGATGGCTCTCGAGAAAAACCAGACATGGACACTAGCGCCGTTGCCGCCGACGAAAACAAGATTGGATCAAAGTGGATTTTCAAGATCAAATATAAGTCTGATAGAACAATAGAACGCCGAAAAGCCAGATTGGTAATACTTGGGAACAATCAAACATAGGGGATTGATTACGACGACACTTTCGCTCCGGTCGCGAAGATGGTTACAGTAAAAACTTTTCTAGCTGTTGCCTCGGCTAGGAACTGGGATGTTCACCAAATGGACGTGCACAACGCGTTTCTACACGGTGATCTCGACGACGATGTATACATGAAGTTGCCATAAGGATTCACTGCAGCAGTGCCGAACCACGTCTGCAAACTCCGCAAATCTCTATACGGCTTGAAACAAGCCCCGCGATGCTGGTTCGCCAAACTTAGTTCCGCTCTTCGCAGATACGGGTTTCAACAGTCCCAATCCGACCACTCTCTGTTTGTTTTCTGCAAAGGCCCGACTCGACTTCATTTACTGATTTATGTCGACGACTTGCTACTTACCGGGAACTGCCCACACGCCATGTACGTCTTCAAGGAGTATCTTGGTCGGTATTTTCATATGAAGGATCTCGGGCCTCTCAAATATTTTCTTGGTATTGAGGTCGCCCGCGGTCCGCTGGGTATTTCGATGTGCCAACGAAAATATGTTCTAGATATTCTGAATGAAACGGGTCTTTTGGGCGCTAAACCTGTTTCGTTTCCACTTGATCAGAACCACAGATTGGCAATATCTACCAGTGAGATTCTTTCAGACCCTGAGCCATATAGAAGACTTGTGGGACACTTAATATACTTGCTGGCTACGAGACCCGATATCACTTATTCCGTGCATATTTTGTCACAATTCATGCACGAGCCACGCCGCGACCATTGGGATGCAGCCCTTCGCCTCGTTCGCTATCTCAAAAACAACCCGGGACAAGGAATTCTCCTGCACTCGAATTCTGAACTTCGATTGTCTGGATGGTGTGACTCGGATTGGGCAGGCTGCCCTCGCACCCGCAAATCACTTTCGGGATGGATTGTACAGTTCGACCACTCTCTGGTTTCATGGAAGACAAAACGGCAACAGACCATTAGTCTCTCGTTCGCTAAAGCGGAATACCAGGCATTGGCGGTCTTGACTTGTGAACTTCTTTGGTTTAAAGGCTTGTTGTCGTTTCTAGGAGTCGAACACACAACACCAATGACGGCGCATAGCGACAGTCAATCCGCCCTCCAACTTGTGGCAAATGACGTCTTTCACGAGCGCACCAAACATATAGAAGTCGATTGTCATTTTCTGCGCCATCATCTGAGCAACCGCAACATCATCACTCGGCATGTTCCCACTGGGGATCAACTCGCGGACATATTCACGAAGGCACTTGGCAAGAAGGAATTCCACCGGTTTTTGCTCAAGTTGGGCATCCACGACATATATGCTCGAACTTGAGGGGGGTATTAGTGTATATTGTATCCCGCAATTACGGGAAGATATTGTTGTAACATATTTAGTTTCCTTAATTCTAGCTTAGGTCAAAACACGTTTGTTTAGGATAAATTTGCACAGAACATGTTGAATGGACGACAACACTTTTCCGATCGTCTCCGATCTCCGACTCTTCTGCTTGATTCCTGACAGAATCCTTGATGCCCTTCTCGTTTCTTCGCATCTTCTAGAATCCTCTATGGCCATCTATCGCGTCAGAAAGGTATTCTCATGAGCCACTCGGTGCTCCACCGCTCGGCCGGATTCACCTTCATACATCTGCTGACGAAGTCCTTGGCGTCATCCGAAATATCTCCAGGCACGGTCCGGGGGAAGCAGCTGGCACCGAACATCTCGAGAACCACGCAGCCTAAAGACCATATGTCTAAAGCGGACAAGATCCGAGACCCAGGTCCTATCCACTCAGGCGACATATATAGAAGCGTTCCGAGGCAGATCCTGTTGTCCTTCAAGAAACCGTCTTCGGCAGGCTCCTTGGCCGAACCGAAATCAGAAATCTTCAGACTCGCATATCTCTCCCACTGCTTTGGATGGAAAGGCCAGAATGTTGGCGGGCTTCAGGTCGCAATGCACGTAGCCTTCTGCATGAAGAGCCATTAGTCCGCGAAGAATCATGCGCGTGAAACACTTCACGTGTTTCTCACACAATCTTCCGTCGTTCTCCTTGATGACGTCGGAGAGTCTCCCTTTGGACTCGTACTCGAGATAGATGCTGCATGCTTCGACGCCGTTGACGGTCTCGGTGTAGACGAAAGGGGTTACGGGCCTGATGATGTTTGGAACGCTGAAGTGGCATAAGATCCTTATTTCTCTTTGCATACTATCGGCTTTGCTCATCAGTGACGTCTTCTTTGCCAGGTATTGCTCGGTCTCGCTTGGAAAAACGGAGCTGAACTCCACCAGCGTCACATAGCCATACCCTCCTTGCCCCAGAAAACGGACCAGCTTCCCCTCGTTTTCCGACCAGTACGACGTAGACGTAGATCGAAACATCGTCATGCACTTGAGATTTGAGATTGTATTGTCTTTTGCGGTGAAGGGGGGGCTCGTGCTTATATAGGGGTTTATTTATTTATTTGGATAAGCCTATATAGATGTTTACAATTTCGTTTTTATCGATTAGGGAATCATATTTACAAATCTGATAGAGATTAAGGATTTGGTGATGCATTTCTCATTGCCTAAGCGTGTTTGATAACCGTCCCGGTAAAACATTGGAGATTTTGATAATAAATTTATCTTAAACGCGCAGTATCTCAGTTACTGCTCATTAGAAATAACCTTGTTATTAGAGAATTTTTAAGGTGTGGTTATTTTTCTGACACATCCCACGAAAAACTTTTGTAACGATAGATACGGTCCAAAATCAGATATTGATTCAAGAGAGAGAAATTCCAGATATGTCAATATCTAATAAGGGAAGGGATCTATGCGGCTCCTAATATCTCCCACGCGGGTTATAGATACAGAGTGATCCGACGACGATTTCGTCGAATCAACAGAACCCTTTATTTTCTTTTCGAGTAAAGCAAGGGAAGCAATTTACTTTTCCAACACGGATGAAAACAATGTCGCATATTGCCGACTGCCTTCTGATACGGCGGCGATTTAAAAAGACAAAATCGAAGGATATGCATATTCCCTCCGATTGCCGAGAAAATTTCCGAGATTTTTCTGTAGTCACTCTTTTTCGGAATTTCAGCACTTTCTCCTTTTCAAAACTGAAAACAGAGGTTGGATGCACTGTCGCAAGGTTGGCAAAGATAAGAGGGGGAGGAGACGATGATGAGGCGATCTGCTGATGTGTAAATAAATGATCTAGTCAGCTTTTTCTGTGGTACCACGTCAGCGTCCAAGTTTAGATCGTCGGATTTTCGTTTCCGGCAATTCTCTAAGGAAGTACCATAATTTCGCTAACTTCGGCAAGTTTTGGAGCTTGGTACGTATAAGAAAACTATGCCTTTGGGTTAATTTGATTTCGGTTATTGTTTTTCGGTTTAGCGTCATTTAATCCGGTTTAGTTAGTTCTTTTTTATTTAGGTTGAATAAGTATTGTTTTCATTCGATTTTGAAAAGATAAAGAGAAAATTTCCCACTCTCTCTCCTCTTTTCTCTCAATTTCTACAATTTGAAAATGGTATTATGCACCTTTACAATCTTGGATTTTTTTCATTTGATTTTGAAATCTGATGTCGATACCAGCTGAAGTTTCTGATGAATCACCGATTCCGGCTTCAGGTATGAATTCTGATTCGTCCTCAACTTCAAATCCATATGCGAATCTCTTATATCTTTATCCAGAAAACTTGTCGAGCTTAGTTCTAGCTGCGGAGAAGTTCCTTGGTACGTAGACAATGTAGATCGATAATGGTGCTTAGCTTTTTAACATAATCACTTTGCGCCGGTAAACAAAATATTTCACATAACGACGTACGGAAATGACATTTCTACATACGCTCGGTCCTAATCTACTTTGCAATAGCCAAAATGACTTGCCTTTTGGGAGACCTTAACGGTAATGGGACAACTACCTACATTATATATATATATTGCATATCACTATGCAAATGACTAATCGAATTATTACATTACATACTTTCGGACGTAAAATGTTGACGATAACACGGGAGAAGCTAAATCTCGGCCATGACTAATGAAGAACAAAGAAACACCGCCATTACCTCAATCACATTTCCTTTCTTGTCACACAAGATATTATGTTTCCTTACATGTATTGTCATTCATCGTACATTCCTTTTTTTCTTGATACTGCATATTTGTATATATGTACATCTATCGATCTGTAAAATCATCAAGAAGAGTATTTTGTCTTTTACAAAAACATCTTTCTCTTCAACCCTAAAACTCCTTTGCAGGCACTGTCTTAGCCGAGAAACAGAAACCATACTCACAAATTCTGGTTTTGTTCATGGTATCAGAGCAAGACGATCGTCACTTCCGCTGATCTATCTCTACTCGCATCGTTTCTGATTTCGTCACTTAATTTGTCCCTCTCTCTGTTCTTTGTCTTCTTCATCAACCTACCATGGAAACACAACCCAAAACTATTCCAATTGTCCTTCATGGAGATAACTATTTCTACTGGTCCAAGGCTGCCAAAGCCGTGCTCAGTAGTAATGGTCTTTGGGAACACGTCACTGCTGATTTCGTCACCGAAACCCCTCCACAGGAAGTGGCTGCTGACGGAGAACTGCCGAATGCAAATGCTGCACAAATCCAAGTCGATGTTGCTATCAAAGCAAAGGCCAAATGGTATCAATCTGATCAGCGGGCTCTTGTTATTCTTCAAGCCTCGCTGGATGAGAATGTTCTGCAGTCCTTCATCGCTACGGACTCTGCTAAGTCCCTTTGGGATGCTCTAAAAAATGTGTATGGCAATTTGTCCAACATAAGCCGCATATTTGAGATAAAGAAGAAGCTCTTCCAATTGCAGCAAAACGGCCAACCTTTTAACAAGACCCAAAGCAAGTTTTTTGCTCTTTGGACAGAGCTTGACGAGATCCGACCACCCATTGCAGATCTGAAAGAGTCCTTGGTCCGAACACAAGAGGATAAGGTGTTTTCCCTCCTTTTATCTCTTGATCCTTCTTTCAACGATCTTGTTTATCATATGCTCCGTAAACTACCTTACCATCCTTCGACGAGGTTTGTATGATGGTTAAACGTGAAGAAGGTGGAAGGAACTTGTTCAATGGACTGGGTGCCCTTGCTCATTATGCTCAGAAATCATCACTTGCTCCATCTTCGTCGAGGGAGAAGAAACTCTATTTTTGTGATCATTGCAAGCGTACGGGACACTCTAAGGAGCGCTGCTGGATCCTCAACCCCCACCTCAAACCGACGAGATTCAAAGATCCACCAAAACGCGGTGTTGCCATGATGGCTGAGCAAGGTCTGCCACCTTCAGAGAACATTGTGGCCTTTAGCAATGATGAACTCAAAGGCTTTAAACAACTCTTGTTGGCTCTCAACACTAAAGACTCCGGTAACATTACTATAATTCCCTCTATTATTATTGATTCGGGAGCTACTTCCCATGTTTTCCGATGCTTCTTGGTTTCGTAGCCTTCAACGCAGCTTTGGTTCGGTAACGGTTGCCAATGGAAAAATCTGTTCCTATAGAGGGTCGTGGTTTTATTCGACTTTTTGATCGTGATATTTATGCACTTTATGTTCCATCATTTAAAACCAACCTCTTAACACTATCGAAACTTCTTACTAAAACACATTGTGTTGTAATCTTTGAAACTAACCGAGTTTTGTTTCAGGATACTAAGACGGATCAAATCTTTGGTCGAGGCATAAAGCGGGGCAACCTATTTTATCTTGAAGATTTTCATTCTTGTTTTCATTCTTGTTTTGTTTCACTTTCATCTGATGTGTGCCATGTTAGGTTAGGTCACCCACATCGCAATGTTCTTCGATTACTTGTTCCCGACTCTAAAAACATTGTTCCATCGCAATGGGTCTACAAGATCAAATATCGCAGCGACGGAACCATAGAGAGATACAAAGCTCGCTTAGTGGCAAAGGGGTTCACTCAAATATATGGCGAAGATTACACAGACACATTTGCGCCCGTAGCTAAGTTGCCCACTGTTCGTATTCTTTTGTCTTTGGCTATTAACTTGGACTGGTCTTTGTGGCAGATGGACGTCAAGAACGTCTTTCTTCAGGGTGATCTCGAGGAGGATATCTTTATGATGCCTCCGCCAGGTCTTAATCGTCCATTGCTTCCGGGACAAGTTTGCAAGTTGAAGAAATCCATTTACGGTTTGAAACAATCGCCAAGAGCTTGGAATCACAAGTTATCTTCGGCATTGATCACCCGAGGCTTTGTTCGTAGCGACTCGGACCGCTCTCTCTTCACCCTACGTAGCCCGGCCGGAATTGTTGTTTTATTAGTCTATGTCGATGATATC